AAGTGAGTTTAAGAAAAAGCTTGATAAGTATATGAATGAAAAGGGCTGGGTTTAAAAGTTTTTTGTTTTTTTTATCATTTTGATTTAGTTTTGAAAATGGAACAGCCGAGATGGACCAAAAGTTCCCATGTTGTCCCAAAATATTATGTTATATTATGGTACCTCACGCTATACATGTCGTACCAATTTATTTAACTTTGATGAATACATCTACCAACTTCTATTACTTACAGAGATAAATAAATCTATCAAGTTATATTACTTACAGTGTAGTTTCGGGGGTCGAAAGCCGGAATCGCTACCGTGGTGAACAACTGAATGTTCTGAAAAAAAAACATAGTGAAAAACTTGTTAACTTTATATGAAACATGGAAACTACAAATCAAATTTCATAAAGTATTTCCTATCGCAACTTAGAGTGGTCAGAAGAGGATGGTACTTTCATTTATCTTTTGTTGGCTAACCCTGAAACAACTGTTCTAATGAAACGAGTCCTAATGCAGTTTTATTATTGATTTCTGCTACCGTGGCTTTGATTCTAAGGAGAGAAGTCGGCTTACTTTCTTTGTCAGTAACAAACTTACTTATTTTACTCAAAAAATCGAATTTCCTGCAGGTCTTTATTGCTTTTCATGAACTCTTTAATGGAAAGTTTAACTGACCCACGTTGTAAAATGATCACACTTTTCATAATTATTTAATTGACAAATGGCAAAAAAGCTTAAAATATTTTGGTTTAAAAAGTGAGTTGTTTTTATAAAAGTAGTACACTATATTTATTATTTTTTTTATCTCTGTTAAATTATCAATCTGCTAAACATTTCGTTAAGCTGCAGCATCCACAAGGTACGATACCAACAGGTTCTAACCATCTACAAGGTACAATACCAACAGGTTCTAAACAGCTACAAGGTACAATACCAACTGGATCTAACCATCTACAAGGTACGATACCAACAGGTTCTAACCATCTACAAGGTATGATACCAACAGGTTCTAACCATCTACAAGGTACAATACCAACAGGATACCAACAGATTCTAACCCTCTACAAGGTATGATACCAACAGGTTCTAACCATCTACAGATACGATACCAACAGGTTCTAACCATTTACAAGGTACGATACCAACAGGTTCTACCCATCTACAAGGTACAATACCAACAGGTTCTAACCATCTACAATTTACAATACCAACAGGTTCTAACCATCTACAAGGTACAATACCAACAGGTTCTAACCATCTACAAGGTACAATACCAACAGATTCTAACCATCTACAAGGTACGATACCAACAGGTTCTAACCATCTACAAGGTACGATACCAACAGGTTCTAACCATCTACAAGGTACAATACCAACAGGTTCTAACCAGCTACAAGGTACAATACCAACAGGTTCCAACCATCTACAGATACGATACCAACAGGTTCTAACCATCTACAAGGTACGATACCAACAGATTCTAACCATCTACAAAGTACAATACCAACAGGTTCTAACCATCTACAAGGTACAATACCAACAGGTTCTAACCATCTACAATTTACAATACCAACAGGTTCTAACCATCTACAAGATATGATACCAACAGATTCTAACCATCTACAAGGTACGATACCAACAGGTTCTAACCATCTACAAGGTACGATACCAACAGATTCTAACCATCTACAAAGTACAATACCAACAGGTTCTAACCATCTACAATTTACAATACCAACAGGTTCTAACCATCTACAATTTACAATACCAACAGGTTCTAACCATCTACAAGATATGATACCAACAGATTCTAACCATCTACAAGGTACGATACCAACAGGTTCTAACCATCTACAAGGTACAATACCAACAGGTTCTAATCAGCTACAAGGTACGATACCAACAGGTTCTAACCATCTACAAGGTACAATACCAACAGGTTCTAATCAGCTACAAGGTACAATACCAACTGGATCTAACATCTACAAGGTACGATACCAACAGATTCTAACCATCTACAAGGTACGATACCAACAGGTTCTAACCATCTACAAGGTACGAAACCAACAGGTTCTAACCAGCTACAAGGTACAATACCAACAGGTTCTAACCATCTACAAGGTACGATACCAACAGGTTCTAACCATCTACAAGGTACGATACCAACAGATTCTAACCATCTACAAAGTACGATACCAACAGGTTCTAACCATCTACAAGGTACTATACCAACAGGTTCTAACCATCTACAAGGTACGATACCAACAGGTTCTAACCATCTACAAGGTACGATACCAAGAGGTTCTAACCATCTACAAGGTACGATACAAAGAGGTTCTAACCATCTACAAGGTACGATACCAACAGGTTCTAACCATCTACAATTTACAATACCAACAGGTTCTAACCATCTACAGATACAATACCAACAGGTTCTAACCATCTACAATTTACAATACCAACAGGTTCTAACCATCTAGTAGGTACAATACCAACTGGATCTAACCATCTACAAGGTACGATTCCAACAGATTCTAACCATCTACAAGGTACGATACCAAGAGGTTCTAACCATCTACAAGGTACAATACCAACAGATTCTAACCATCTACAAGGTACGATACCAACAGATTCTAACCATCTACAAAGTACAATACCAACAGGTTCTAACCATCTACAAGGTACAATACCAACAGGTTCTAACCATCTACAATTTACAATACCAACAGGTTCTAACCATCTACAATTTACAATACCAACAGGTTCTAACCATCTACAAGGTACAATAACAACAGGTTCTAACCATCTACAAGGTACG